ATCTTGTAAGGCATTGCTAGTGTAGTAGACAGGCCGTTCGACATTACCATCATTTCCAATGAGAACGGAACTTACTGCTGAAGCCGATACCGACAGATAGATAATGAGAGTGTCACCAACCTCAGGTTTGGAGAGCAAATGGGCTTTACTCATGTAGTCTTTGAGGTTCTTGAATGCCTCAGCACATTCATTAGTCCATGTAATATACTTCTTACTTCCCTTAAGTGCTTTGAAAAAAAGAGCACATCTGTCGGTGGCCTTAGAGATGAACCTGGTTAAGGCTGCCACTTTGCCAGTAAGGCTCTGGATGTCTTTTGAAGTTACCGGTTCCTTCATGTTGAGGATTGCTTTGATCTTCTCGGGATTAGCCTCAATGCATCGTTGGCTTATCAGGAAGCCTAAGAATTTGCCAGAGCCTACGCTAAAGGCACATTTGTTGGGGTTCAACCTCATTCGATACTTCTTCAGAATGGTGAAAGTTTCAGATAGGTTGGTGATGTGTTGGTCAGCATGTTTGCTCTTGACTAGCATATCATCAACGTAAACTTCCATGCTCTTCCCAATCTGTTTGGCGAACATTGAATTGACCAGTCTCTGATAAGTTGATGCATTCTTTAGGCCGAAGGGCATGACTTTATAGCAATATAGTCCCATGTCAGTAGTGAAGGCTGTGTGTTCTTGGTTCAGAGGGTTCATGAGGATTTGGTTGTATCCTGAGTTAGCATCCATGAAGCTCAGGAGTTCACACCCAGCCGTAGAGTCTATAAGTCTGTCTATGAGAGGAAGAGGAAAGCTATCCTTCAGGCATCCTTTGTTTAGGTCAGTGTAATCGACACACATTCTCCACAAGACCTTTTGGAGTATGAGACTTTCCTTGGTCGGATTCTTCTTAACAAAACAACATTTGCTACCTATGTTGGATAATTGACTTCGTGGACGAAGCCTATGCCTTTGAGTTTTTCAACTTCTGCCTTAATTGCCTCGTACCGTTCAGCGTCATAAGATCTTAGCTTCTGTCTCACTGGCTTAGTCTTGGGGTCAATACTTAAGCGATGACAGATTATATCGGGAGAGATGTCTGGCATGTCCTCGTATGACCAAACAAAGACCTTAATGTTCTCTTGCAAAAAAGAGATCAATGCCAACCGAATGGGTGGTGACAAGGTGGTACCAATCTTCACCATGCAATCCGGATAATATTTTGAGATAGAGACATTCTCCAACTCTTCAGCGGGTTGTGCTTGCTGGGTGAAAGAGTCATCTCGAGGATCGTCAGGTTGACTGTTGCCACCGTGAAGATCCAAGTTGGCTTTGTCTGGGCTGGTCTTTATGACTTGGTCATGTATAAAAAGGGTTTCCTTGGGCACAGGCAAGTGCTGTTGCTTGACCGAAGTGTTGTAACATGATCGTGCACTAAGTTGATCTCCTCTGATGTAACCATTGCCATAGGGGGTTGGAAATTTCATCAACATATGTGTGGATACCATGGCCTTGAGATCATTGATGCCTGTGCGTCCCAAGATGACATTGTATGCCGTTGGGCAATCAACCACCAGGAAGTTAGTGGTAATGGTAGTTGTGTAAGGGCATGTACCAATGTTAAAGGTAAGTGTATGCTCCCCAAAGGTTGCACGATATCACCGGAGAAGCTTATCAGAAGGGAAATTGAGCGGTCGAGCAAGTGTTCAGCTACATTAAGTGCCCTGAAAGCTTCAGCGAACATGATATTGACCGAAGCCCCTATGTCTACTAGGATTCGTCGTACTTCAAAGTTGGCTATGTGAGCTTCCACGAGCAGTGGGTCGTTGTGAGGGTAGATGATACCTCTTTCTTCCTTAGGGTAGAAACATATTGGATCCCAGTTAGGCTTTTGATACTTACCTCCCCTGATGTCTTCCACGTGAAACACTTGGTGGCCAGACCTTAAAGCTCGTTCACTATTTTTCATAACCCTGTTGGAAGATTTAGATATGGGTGTGCCACCACTTATGGAATATATCACATTTACCTGGCGTTGGTTACGGTTAACCCTTGAATGGTGAATGAGGAATTGATCAATTTTTCCTTCACGTGCCAAAGCTTCAATATGATCACGAAGGGTAATACACTTCTCACCGTCATGGCCGTTATGCTCGTGGTAGTAGCAAAACGTTCCCATGTTCTTCGTGGGCTTGTAATCCGGGTGCCTCGGCTTTGGCTTCGGTATCAAGTGTGTTATGCTGGGGTAAATGGCCACGCATGTGGCGTTCAAAGGTGTGTATGCCTCATACCTCGGGGTAGGGGTTGTCCTGACACGTGCTTGATTCATTGTGTTTACTGCCTGGGGTCGAGGATTATCATGGCGATACCCTTGATTATCACGGTAATGTCCCTTACTCCTTTTACTAAAATAAGACTAGTGAGGATGGAAATCTTTCCTTTTACCCTGAGATTGATATGTATGTTGACTTGGCAAAGTATTAAGTAAGGCAAGGGGAGGCACCGCTGCCGTTTGGAAGGTCGAGGTCTTCTCATTTGGTTGGATCTAGCTTTCACTCCCTACTTGATGGTAAGGGGTGGTTGTGGGGGGTTTCCCTTGATATGTCATTGCCTTGGTGGAATATGGTTGTAAGCCTGTGCCATTACCTCAGAGTAAGTCTTCCAAGTGTTGGCATTGATCATGTACTTAAAGAAACAATCACGTAGGCCTGCTGTGAAGGCCTTGAGGGCGGTCTTTTCATCTGCCTCAGCGCAACGAGAATACTCATGGCTGAAACGACCAGCATACTCTCATAGTGACTCGTTTGGCTTTTGGTGAATAGTGTACAAATCATCTGCAGAATGCAAGCGATCAGTTTGGAAGATGTGTTGAGAGACAAACAGTTTCCTCAGTTCCTCAAATGAGTCTACTGTCTCAGGTGGAAGACGGCAATACCAATTTAGAGCTCCGCCAGAGAAGGTGGAGGGGAAGAGAAGACATCACTCTTCGTCGGTGTGCATCCGATATGCCATGGTGGACTCAAAGAGGTTAAGGTGTTCAATTGGGTTATCCCTTCCAGTATAGAGTTGTAAACCAAGCTTTTGTTTTGTCTTCACTTGAAGGGGGTGTCGAGGATCCTCCTTGTGAGAGGGCCAGGCCTAGGTTGGTTCCAGTCAGGTATCTCAGCCTGACGTTCGGATTCAACTTGTTTACTTCCTCAAGGAACTGCAGGACAAGGGGGTCCTGAGTGAAGTCATGTACCACTGGGATTTTCTTTCGTAAGTCTCCATCGCCTCGTGGAAGTATGAAAGTTTGAGCAAGGGCATGTGATTTTTCCTTGGACTCGCTGTACTGACTTCTAGGGCAAGTCTGTCGGAATACCTCAGAGTCCCATGTACCTTCATGTTCCTCTGGGACCTGTCGTTCCTTCCCTAGATTAGCAGCTGGGCTGGGTTGTGGGAGGGGACCTAGTTTTTCAGAAACCCTTAGGTCATTGATCTTCGAGCATATGTGGAGGGGATTCTCTTGACGTTGTTTTAGGAAGTCTCGGCAGTCACGATAAATGGCTTTCGATCCTTCCAACCCTTCTGCAAGGAAATGTCTTCCTCCACTTCTCCTGCTTCGAGTCGAAGCAGCTAGGTTGAGAGAATTCTCATGTTGATCAATGTTTTGATGATTAGCTTACTATTCATCAAGGATACCCATGTCAAAGGAAGGTGACCCTCCGTGTTGGGGGGCACCCAGGTGATGATTGATGTCTACAGGAGTAACGAGCTCGCATGTTTGTGTACGCCTAGTTTCATGGAGCGTCTCAAAGAGCTTCTCATACTACTCCTGAAAGACCTCATTCTTCATTGATATCTTGTTGCTGAGCTTCTAGCTCATCGACTTTAGCTTGAAGAGCAACCCTCTTTCCTTCCTTCTTTCGTTGCTTTGCACTAGGTGCAAGAGGGGTGTCATTCTGTGTGCTGTGGCTTCCTTCACTCCCCATGTTGGAGAGGGATGCCTAGTCAAAAAATAGTGTACGAATGGTGGAAACCAGCTTGACAAAGCTGAAGCAAGTGGGAATAAGTGTCGTTCCCACAGACGGCGCCAAATGTTGATACACAAAATCTGTGAGGACTTTGGTACAACAGAAAGTGTTAAGTTTGTGACCTTCGCTAGATTGTTTCGGTCACTAGTGTGGATAAGTATGTAAATAGATGGAGACAGGGAATCAAACACAAGATGTACGTGTTTCACCCAGATTGGCTACGTCCACGGAGTAGAGGAGTTCTCATTAATTGTGAAGGGTTTACACAAGCACATAGGTTCAAGCTCTCCTTTAGTGAGTACAAATGAATGATTTGGTCCAAATGACATTAGGAAATATTGTGAGAGAATGATCTCTATTTATAGAAGAGAGTTTCTAGTTTCATTCTAACATTGACACGTGTCGTGTTATGATTGGCTTCTGATGTTGACACGTGTCGTGCTATGATTGGCTTCTGATGTCGACACGTGTCGCACTGTGATTGGCCTCCTGGTTGAAGGGAAACTCTTATGGGTCTTTGACAGTATAACGTTGACCGGTGCTCAGTAGTTTCGGGATTGGTCAAGTATGGTACAAACAACTTGTAAAATTGATTCCAGAGTTGCTTGGGGTTGCTTTGGTATTCAGAGTGATGAGGCATAGTTGGAATTTGAGTCAAAAGCTGATACATTTTTCTCTGGAGCTTGTGCAGTGGAAGTGGTGTCATCAGTTAGATAGATGTAAACCAGAGGACAATTAAAGGCATTAGTGAACATTGAATAATGTGGAGATCAAAATTAAAGACTTTAGATAGATGTAAAATAGACTTGCATTCTTAAATAAGCAATAATGCCAACATGACACTACAATTTAAGAACACAAATCTTGTCAATATCCACCTTCATATGAGTCACAATTTTAAATTGGGTAACATGTAATGAGAATGTAAGGAAATCAAAGTACATAACTCATTTCTCCTTGCATAAACATTTAAAAAACCAAATGCCAGTTATTGGAAAACTGAATTACCTGGCCAAACTTTCTTTTTATTCAAACATCCATCTCCACTTGCTCTAAATAAAAAGGAGGGAGTGTGTGAAAAATTAGAATCACGAAGCAATGAAGAACAGAACACGCAAGAACTGAAATGTTAAAAATAACACGTACCCATTTCAAAGACCAAAAATCCTACAAAGAAAAAAAAATCCCATAAAATCAGCATATCAGCACTTCCTGCAAAACCCCAAAATAGAAAATTAGAAAAAGAACCCACAATCAGTCGCATGATCCTCCTTTCTCCATTAATCAGTAGCTAATGACCTAATGAAAAAGAACCCAAAACAGACTGCTTAAATTATGAAAAGTGGTTATAAAGCTCATGAATAACTTTCACTTATTTGACCTTCGTGTGATTGTTAACTACAATATCAACATTCACAAAGGATAATTAATTATGAAGAAAATTTGATATAGAATCAAAGATATTGAGAAAAGAAAAAAGGGCAAGACCTTTGAACTTGTTTCTAATTTCCTCACAAATATACAAACAAAAAGAAAGAAAAAATGAGTACAACTAAATATATATCATCCAACCAATCCAATCTATTACATAGGTTCTTAAGTATTTGTATATACCATCCAACCAATCCGATCTATTACATAAATTCAAATCACTTTTCTAATCTCTCCCGAAAAACAATAAACACATTTTAATTCAACATTCATGAATGAGTGCTCAAACCGGGAAAAAACCAAAGGAGAAAAAACATACCAAAAAATTAACAGGACCACTGGAGCTGTTCGCAAAATTATTAGAGCTTCATCCAATTCTAACGAAAACTGAAAGACAGCACTTATAAAACATACCTCAGTTGTATTAAATTTATTTCCCAACAATCTAAAGACAGCCGACGCTCAACGACCGAAAGGCAGTCGCCGCTCAAGCAAAGAAGAAAACAGGAAACAGATCCGGCCAAAATTCGTCAATCCCAAACGGAAACAATCGCAAGAATCCCGAAATGTTCGACCCCCGATCGCAAGTCTACAAATCTCAGAAACCAATTTTATGGTATCGGAGAAAACACCCACAACCCTAGGTCCAAAAATACGGAAACCTCCTCAAATCAGATAGCATAAATAAGATCGCTTAAAAGACGAAAATCAGGACCTTTCCCCCAATATTTTCCGAGGCAAAGAACACAATATTTAAGAACAACAAACAATCGGAGAGAAGCAGCGAGAATAAGGCAGAGATGAGAGCAAGAAGCACAGGGTTAAACCGAAAGGAAAACTCGCGATTGAAGGGGACATATCAAGGATGACAGACGCGTGGATCGAATGGGCAAAATCGACTTTTCACTGCAGCAAAGAGGAAAGAGCAAGGCAAAGAAACCAAAAACTGAGGGGCAAAATGGTCCGGCCACTAGTCAACAGTGCCCCCTACCCCCTAGAAAAACTGGGTTTTAGTAGAGAATAACTTGTAAATTTTACCCGCAACAACTACCCGCACGTTGTTGCTGGAGTGAAAACATGACTATAGATTATGTTTTTAACCTATAAATATGTAAAGAGTGTTATAAATACTAAACATAAAATGGAATAAATATTTTTACAAAACTGTCAAGTTTATGTAATTTACGAAAAAGACATTATCAAATGTCTTATCATCAATATACAAAAATGGTTAACCTAGTATTCCCTCTTGACAGTAATCCTAAAGAGCCCATTGTTTATATACACAAAAAGAATGAGGAATTCATGTTAGGATCAACTATTTACACACAAAAAAATGTGAATCAATACTTATTTGTTTTGGATAACACATGCCAACATCCTTTTAACACATGAGCAAAAGTTTTTTGGTTGAAGCCGTCACTACAGAAAAAATAGTATTGATCATTAGAAAACCAAAAATAAAAAAGGAAGCTAAAAATGAAAGAAAAAGCAGAAGCAAAAAGAAAGGAAAATAAGACAGCAACGTGCAGGAAAGAAAAGAGAAATAAAAGAGAATAGAGCTTACAAACATACGTTGCTTTATCACATTTGTTTAACATTTTTTTTGTCCTGCCACCAATTTTTTTATTTTATTTTATCTTTTTCTGGACTAAAAGAAAGACTTATCGTGCCATGCCGGGTTTAACTCATACTTTTTTTGCCTTACGAAAGACTTGTCGTGCCACGGCCATTTTAATTCACATTTTTGAAGTTTTTTTTTTTAGCCTTACCATCAATTGCTTTATTGTTGTAAAATCAATAGTGTGTGCAGTGGAATAAATGAAACAAGACACAAAATTTATGAGGTTCCTCTACAGTTAATGTGACCGGAGTACGTCTTCAGGACAGCAATGATGTTTTAATTATAATTTGGAATAATAGAAGTACAAAGATGACTCTCTCTATTATCTCCTTTCCTCTTCCTCTCTTTTTTCTCTTCCTCTTCCTTGAACTTCTTTCTTCTATGTATTTTCTCTCATCCTCAACATTCCCTTTTATAGGCACATATGATAGTGCTTGCTGCCTTACTGCCAACTAAGCTACAGTGCTCTAAAGTGGTTGATATAGTCATCCATTACATCATTTAGTGGTCAGCCACCAATATTTACAACACTCCCCCTTGGATGACCACAAATCTTCGATTAACTCGTTAAAATATTGATCTGTTTTTTTATGCTCCTCCTGATGAGTAGTACCATATCTGTTGTGCTTATTGACTTTCCACAGGCTTGTTCTTGAACTGGGCTGGAGGGCCTTCTATTGGACTTCCTCTAAAGGTCTGAATTTTACTCCTTTTAACTGGAGCTGAATTTTATTCAAGGGTGGTGAACACTTGATCTTGAATCAGACTTGTGATTTCTTCAAGGACTTTTGAGGCTTGATCTTGAATGAAATTGGACTATGAGGAGCTTAACGTGGCAAGTGATCTTCGGCTTTGTTGAGGATGAATCAACACGTATTTGTTGCGCTTGTCTCCACATACTTCAATGTATCATTTTCGCTTGCCTTATCTGTTCCCCTTGCATAAGTGGTATTTTCCCTGGTTTCCCCTCATGCATGTGTGGCATCTTCTCTTGTAGTATTTGTCCACTGATGCATGAGACCTTGCATTTGGATGATTCATCACTTCTTGGTGACTCATCCATGATAGCCAACATCATATCAACAGTTGAAGATGAGTACTTGAGAGCAATGCAAGTTAAGCAACCAGGCAAAGGTTCTGGGCAGTCAGTTCTTTACCGGAAGTTTGATTGGAGGTTCCGACATATTGCTTTCTTTACCCTTGTCTTTGTAGGTAAGAAGAAGGACATAGGAAATGACAGGAAGAAAGCATGATATGAGATACTCTTGCTTTCGACCCTGATGATATGAGATACTCTTGCGCTGGTGTGACTTGTTTTGAAGAGGTATTCTCAGAGAGGAAGAAAACTGAGTATTTCGAGATGCTTTGTTAAAGATGCATTCTCGAAGATTAGGAAGAGTTAGGTATTCTTGCAAGTATGCCTTATTATGGAGAATGAAGGTCGACATATATAGAGATTTTTCAATAGCAAGTAGTGGTGTTGTGCCTTTACTCTTGTCAGCAACTGTGGTGTAATTAGAATAGTAAGATTTACGAGTTTTCAACTTTTTTAGAGATCTTTGACAAAGTTGCACGCGATATCCGAAAAAGCTGAGATTGCGTCTGAAAAATGCCAACGAACTTTATTCAGGAAAATCTGGCTTTTGAAATTCGGAGAGCGGTGCTTCTTCGATCTATGAACAAGTGGCCCTGTTGCCTCTTTTTTTATAGAGACATCAATCGTGTTCAAGAGTATACTTAGAAAGTTGCTGCTTGTAGAAATTTTCCCCTTCTTACACTTCTGAGATTTTATTTGGCCTCATTTTCCCTTCATCATTTCTGAAAATGATTTGCCCATCTAACATTTGCTTAGATTTGAGTCTTAGGAGTGATATAGACGAGCAGCATCAGGATAATATATGGCGCTTGTCCTTTCAAAACGGTCTAATGAGACGGCCGTTCAAGACTCATTGGCTCTCAGTGTTCAATGTGCGGGCTCTGTATCTAATATGGGTCAACACCTACTTACTCAAACTCGCCAAGTTGAATCATTGATGACTGAGGTGGCAAGTCTTAAACAAGAGATCAGATGGCTCAAGCACGAGAATAGATTGTTACACGTGCTTCCAAATAATTACTCGACGAACATAAAAAGAAAGTTCGACCAGCTGCAGGAATCCAAAAGTCGGATTCAAAACGATCACCAAAGGTTTGTTGCTAGATTTCGAAAGCAACTGATGCCTTCCCCTTCTGGTGTTTTGCCAAGTACTGGGTGCCATATGATCAATCTCCAGTGCCTCCTCCTTCTAGGGTACTGCCGAGCACTGAGGTTTCACATGAGCAACCTTTGTAAAGGCTTCATCCTGTTTGTTTGTTTTAACTCATGTGTATGCACATATTTGTAATTTCTCGAAGATATTAATAGATAAGCTTTATTTCATTCAATGTATTGTGCTAAATACAATAAAGCATATACTTTACTAAGATGTGGTACTTCTAGACCAAATATCAATTTATCTTTATCCTTACGAAGATAAATTATCATTCTTAGTGTCGACATTATTTGAGTATTTAACTCATAATCTTCAATCCATATGGTTCTTTAATATCATAAACATCATGGATAAAATTCCTGTTGGTATATTGTTTGATCTGCAGTTCGAGACAATACTTATTGCAACACTTTATATTCTTTCTAGACTCTTCGGGGTTTTCAATTTAATATCATCAACTCTTCAGGAGTTCTAATTTAATGTCATTGACTCTTGCAAAAGATTTTAGTATGTTGCAACAATACAAAATGTAAATAGATTACCTTCAATCCTCTGTAACCATATAGAGGTATTGAACGATTGATAACCATCAAAACTTATACGTATTCTATAAACAACATAAATCTACCAAGTTAATGAATTCCATTACAAAAATCTACTTAATGAAAAATTCACTTGGTATTTACTGTAAAGCCAAACCACCAAGGAATTGGAACTTATTTTGTAAAAAAATTAACCCTTCTTCGGGTTGAACCAGCTACAACTCTTGGTGTTGGCAACCTCAAGCATTGTGGCAACTCTTTTGTTCTCATTATAAACATCTGATTCTTCCAAATCCTTCCACTCCATCCTAGAATTCGTCCCCCGTCACCGCAAATAAATGTAAAAAATCAGAGAAAATCAAATGTTATAAACATCAAATTCCAAATTTGCAGTAAAAGCCAAATTCCAAACAATGATTGTATGCATATCCGAGCCATAAGGTAACCAAATTTAAAGAATTATTTGGACATGAAAACACACAAAAAACGGAGGGAAAAATATAAATTCATCAAAATTCCCTACTCAAGGATAAATCGTAATATAATTTCATATTTATTACAGCAGATGTAAACTCCTGTAGACCACCTATCTCTTAAACCCCTGAAGACTGACTCTTACATCATTTATAGTGCAAAATTTGACGAATCAAATAAAGATTGTCAAAAGTTTAGAATTTTAACATCAATTACAACATGCAAACCCAAAATTTGATCCAAATCAAAGTTGAAGAATATATTAATCCCAAATTTTGACATGAATCACAATATATAGACCCAAGAGGCGTAGAATCAAAATATACCTACGATTTGGTGATTGGATGACTGTGAGGGGCCTCAAAAATACAGGGAAGCTAGCGGATTCGCTGGAAAACCTCGCCGGAATCTGGGTTACGGATTGAGCTTCAATCTTCTTCAAACCTTCACCAAATCGTACATGCAAGCCATGAAATCTTGACCTAGAAAGTAAGAATGGGCTCAGACTTGAGTTCGTGAGGTCGAAGGGATGAGAATGGTGATTGTTTTGGGTGTATCTGGGTTCGTGGGTGGGGTTGGGGGTTATCGGGATGTTGAGAGAGAGCAGGAGAAAGAATGATGATCGGCAGAGGAGAAAAGATGATACAAAAATATGGACGGATCGATTTCTTTCACACTGCCCAAACAAAATGAACGGTCCTAATTCAATTAGATTTAAATGGGACTAATATTGAAATTACATAACTAATGTAGGGGCATTCTCGGAAGTACACTGTTCTTATGAACAGTGTTTCAGTGTATTTTCTGCTTTAGTATATATTAAATTTTGTTCCTTCCAAAAATAGTGTAAATTATTTTGGTTCAGATTCACAATATTGGTTCAGTTTTAACTACGGTTTCTGTTTCAAACACTTGAACGAGAAACTATCCAGTAAGCCCCCAAAAGAAATCCCATCGCTCATTTACATAAACAAACAAGGAAAGTATATAAACCATGAAGCTTTCATGAAAAAAGCAAAAACAAGTGAAATTTGTTTGCTGTACAGCATATTACCAAGCTTCGGCATCATCCAGTCCAATTTTAATCTCGGAAAATTTCTGCTTCTTCTGCTCTGCAATTCACATTGATAAAAAAAATAACCCATTTAATAAAATGATCAGAACTACCCAAAATCATGCAGATCAAACACATGATGGCATTAAAGGACCTGAATTGCACAAAGCAATCCAACAAACACTTGAACTAAAAGCTACCCAAAAGCACCCAAAAGAAGTCCCTGCGTTAATGTTACTAAATTACTAATTCACTGAAGCAAAAAACACATAATTAAGAGGATTAGAGCTAATCTAAAAAACCCATGTCATAAATCGGCAGAAAAATGATAGAGTAGTACCATAGTCGGGAAGAAGGCGCCTGAGTTGGATTTTCGCGAGAGGTTTGCGGAGAGCTTGCAGAACTAACGCTCGTAGCCTTCGAATACCTCACTCATCTCGATTACTAGTTTTACTGCGCGTGCATAAATCTAGCAATTCAATTGGGAATTGAGGAATCGGGAAGGCAACAATCTGAGGGTTCTCAAAGGGAGGATCGAGGGTTGTCTTCAACTTCGATGTTTAGATTTTGATCTTTATGAAAATCCAGATTCGACTTGGAGAGCCTTCGTGAAAAATGAATAGTTGTCTACTTCCCCTACGCCGTAAACATACGGGATGGCTGTAGAATTTGTATCGGTATTAATTGGGATTTCCAGGTTGTTTGGTTGAGATGCTGCAAAGAAAGTTGGATTTAAACTTCCCGAGCTCAGAAGTAAAACATGCTATGAAATAAGAATCTCGACCTCGGGTGCAGAGCTCAGTAATGACAATGGTATTCAAGTCGTCAAATCTAACCTCAGAGGCCACGACTGGCGTTAGGGGTAAAATCGGAATGTTGATAAATTATTTTGCTCAGGCCAGTCTTATTCGACTGGTTTGGTATTGAGTTTTGTCCTAATCATTAAATAAAATTATTATATAATTTTTTATTAAAATTTAAATTATTTAACCATTTTTATTTTTTAAAACTATCTTAAGAAGGGGCAATTTCATAAATTTCATATGGACCTCCAAAATTTCAGAGACAATCCTGATTTGAGGAGATATGAGTGTAATTAACCGGCACTTTACCCTGCTATTTTTATTACAATCCTGATGTAGGGTATATTGATAAATTTTTGTTGCATTGAAATAAATATTTTTATAGAAGTCGTAAGTCCACCTTTTTCGGAATTCCCGACCTCAGCCACACTCCTCTCTCTCTCTCTCTCTCTCTCTCTCTCTCTCGCTCTCTCAATCTCTTTGTCCACCACGACCCGAGAAAGCCAAAACCCACAGGAAAAGAAATATTCTGATTTCGCAGGCAGCCATGGCTTCCTCCACCGACGTGAAGAAAATAGTAGGCGACCTGGACAAGGAGTCCTTCGTATCCCTTCTCTCCAAGCTTATTGGGGAGTCCAAGTATCTCCAGAACAACCCACCTGAGCTGATCCCTCAAGAGGACCTAGCCGTCAAGCACGTCCTCGATTCCCTGCTTCCCCATAGTACCACCACAGGCGGTGGGCTTTTGGTGATCAAACACGTGACCTACTTCCCCGGCAGAGGCAACGTTATTGTGGAGTACCCGGGAACTGTTCCTGGGAAGATCTTGTCCTTCGTTGGCTGTCACATGGACGTCGTCACTGCTAATCCCAATGACTGGGTTTGTTTCTTTCATTCAATTTTCGGCTTTAATTTGGTCTGTGTTTGCTATCTGGGATTGGATTGAATTGGATTGGATTGGATTGGACTGGACTGGACTGGATTGGATTCTATCTATAGTGTAGAACGTTAGAGAGTGACAATTTTATGTTCAATATGTTACAAGCTGTTCAACCCAATTTTGTGTTTTTATTTTGTGTCGATTATCTTCGTAGGCTGATTGTTTTGGCATTTTCTGTTATGGGGTTTGTTTGAACTAATTAGAGCTTTTACTTGTTTCAGCTTTTGAGTGATTAGCGATTGTGTTAGTTGTTTGGAGGATTATCTGTTTAGTGTTAGCTTAATTCCAATCAATATTTGCCGAGTTTCGATTCTCTTTTTGTTGATTGGAACAGCTCTGCCTTTATACATTTTAGTTATGTTTCTTCACTTGGATTTTCCCAAATACATATGTTTTGCTTTATCCTTTGGGATTTATCCCAAAACTAATCTTTTGATTTCTCCATCTTTTTGTGATTGAATAACAGCAGTTTTCTTGGTTTTCTGATTGCTCATATTAAGCCTAATCCAAATGTCTTAACTACTGAAGTCTTCTATCCTTTTAATGTTGCAGTCAAAATCCCAATCATGATTCTTTCTGGTGAATTAAACTAAATCCAATCAATTTGAAACCCGAACAAGTTTGTTCGGTTGACAAATTTACCCTGCATAAATCGTTTATTTTGTGGGCTTTCGTCCTTATGCTATGAGAAGTTAGATACTATAATTTGGTAATTTGCTGCCTTTAGATTTATGTTGTTCAAAATTGATTCCTATCCATAAATAAATTGATAATCCAATTCGAGTTGAACTCTGCTGATTTGAAAATTCTACAAACCCACAGATGGTTTTCGGGCTTTATTCTGTTTTTTTTTTTTTTTTTTTTTTTTTAACAAAATCCACTGTATGGTTTCCCTTGTCCATATATTAGTAACTATGGTCTAATTTCTGCTAGCTTGTCCTTCCTTCTTATTTTGCTAACTACTTGTCTAGTTATGATCCCAACTGGAATCAGCTGGTAATATATTACCATTTTAGCGTGATGCATCTGAAATTGATTATAACCATTAACCAGATTTTTTTACCCTCTTTTTCTTTAAGATCCTTCAGCTTACGTCATTTGACAATAAGCTTTGGTTCAAGACAAGCATGAAATCTCATAACTGTGGCCAATTAAATTTTGTTACGCTTCACATCTTACGTTTTGGAAATACAGTTTCAGATGCAAGTTTAGTCTTTTATTACAGGAGTTTGAGTTTTTCATTGGTGTTGTGTACAGAATAAGGGATCACCATTGGGCAGTAGTTAAAATGCGATAATGATTGTTCTTTCCTTTTCTCAATTTTGGTGGGTTAGTGATGATTCACTGTGCATCAAATTTGATTCTTGTATTTGCAGGAATTTGATCCATTCTCATTGAGCATCGATGGAGATAAACTTCGTGGCCGTGGAACTACTGATTGCTTGGGTCATGTTGCACTTGTAACCGAGCTCATGAGAAGGCTGGCAGAGACAAAGCCAAAATTGAAGTCAACTGTGGTTGCAGTCTTTATAGCAAATGAAGAGAATTCTGCCATTTCAGGAGTTGGTGTGGATGCGCTCGTAAAGGATGGGCTACTCAGTAGGCTAAAGGATGGTCCTCTGTAAGTAATTTTCATTTCTTGTAAAACAGGATAACCAAGAAATGTCATGCTGATTCATGTTTGCGTTCAACTCAGGTTTTGGATTGACACAGCAGATAAACAACCTTGCATCGGTACTGGTGGTATGATACCTTGGAAGCTTCATGTGACTGGGAAGCTTTTTCACAGTGGTCTGGCACACAAGGTATGCCACTGTGTCCTGTACTCCATTTGAAGTGACATTTCAGTACTTAATCTGCTTACTATTGAACCATTGGTTTAGATGTATATCCCGCTGCCTACTCCACTTCAGCTACCATGGTCATAGTCCCACCTGGCATAAAATTGTTAAGTTCGATCAATATGATGTTTAGGGTCGGGGATCAATGGTGAAAATACTAACTGAGCTGGACACTGTGAGCTGGATATAGTATTTTCAAAGGGGTCATGGTCGTCAATATAATACAAATCAGGGATGTTATTTTACTGTTGTGTGATTTATTATAGGAGCAAAACCACCCAACACTTTTGGGATGAGGTAATAATAAGAGAAGGCATAAAGATTTTCTTTGATAATAGTAAGGGTTGGTTTGGTATTGCTGTGCTTTGAAAAAAAGCTGTTGTGAGAATAAGAGTTTGTGAAATAAATCAGCAGAGTGTTTGGTAAACTTTTTTGTAAAGTGCTTTTGGAAAAAAAAGCAGTCTGATAGTGGATCTTTTCATTAAAGGAGCACTGTAATTCCGTGTGCTTTGAAAAAAAGCCAGTTTTCCAAACCTGGAAATAGCAGCTTCAGCTTTTTCCTTTGATTTCAGCTTATTCTCACAGCAGTTTCCAAAATAAACCTTTTTTTTTTTCAGTTTACCAAACACCTAAAACCCTCACAGTTTTTTTTCATGGGTGCTTTTTTTTTTAAGCACCTCACTCCCAAATCACCCCTAAATATGCTCTTTGATAAAGTGCAATATAGGATTTCAATCGCTGCTTCTGGACTATTTTGGGTAGGGAAGTTGATATCTGGTGTGGGGTTTTTATGAATGTTGAAGCACATTTCGTCATAGCAAATTCTAGCCTTTTCTCTTTAATTGGTAAAAGGCATTTGTTGGACTTGCAGCCAAAGAAGCTAAAGAGTTATCTTGGTTCACAATTAATTTTTTTTTTTCTTATCTACAAATGGCTCCTATATTTCGTTACAATAAAACTTTTTTGGAGCATTCCAGAGCCTGAACTTATGTCTTCTTGGACAATTGAACATTTGTATCGTGAATCACAATGGTATTACATCCTCTTTGTACTTATTTAGCTTATGTTGAATATCTGTAGGCTATAAACCCTTTGGAGCTAGCTATGGAAGCACTGAAAGAGATCCAGTTGCGGTTCTATAGAGATTTTCCTCCCCATCCCAAGGAAGAGGTCTGTGGATTTGCTACACCATCAACCATGAAGCCAACACAATGGAGTTGTAAGTTTCTGGTTTCAAGCTTGTGGTGAAAAATGTTGGAGAATTATGGATTACACTGACCTCTTTTTGGTTTCAGATCCAGGTGGTGGAATAAATCAAATTCCAGCTGAGTGCACAATTTCAGGAGATGTCAGGTTAATATTCTCAGTGACTATTGTTTGAGGCTTTCTGTAGTAGTGATATTTATTTTCTTGGTTGTAGTAGAAGGAATATCTCATCGAGGATTTTTCTTATTAATTTTTGTTGTTTACAGGTTAACTCCCTTCTACAAGTAAGCAACTGGCTTTCTTTTGCGAATTTCCGTGTCCTAAAGGTTTGATGTAAAGATTTTATCTCTGCTCCATTCTCCATTTTTAACACGCAAACACTTTTAACCTGTTACAGCGTTAAGGATGTTATGAAAAAGCTTCAAGAATATGTGGATGACATTAACGAAAACATAGGAAATGTAGAGTCACGAGGTCCGGTTTCAAAGTATATCTTACCAGATGAAAACCTAAGGGGAAGGTACTCTCTCTCTCTCTCTAGATGTTCATGTTTTTTTTTGCTTAGCTACCATCAGATATTTCTCTTAAATAAATAATAAATAAATAAACAAACAGAACAAAACAAAACAAATATTTTTGGCAAGTTAATTATTAAAAGAAGAAAGAAAGTGCAGTCACATTTTTTGTCTCTCTACAGCCTTACATTAAGTTTTGATGAGGCAATGTCCGGAGTTGCTTGCGATCTCAACTCCCGTGGATTTCATGTATTGTGTAAAGCTACTGAAGAGGTTGTTGGTCATGTAAAACCGTACTCAATTACTGGAAGTTTACCTCTCATTCGAGAACTGCAGGTGCAATAATTTTTCTCTGCTTATTATTTTCTTTCTTCCAAGCCCTTTTTTTACTTTTTCTTTCCCTTCTAGTTTTCCTTGAGTACTCATTCTCTTAATTATATCAATTTGTTGTGTGCTAGGATGAAGGATTCGATGTTCAAACTGCTGGCTACGGTACAATGCTA